TTTGTCCTCTCCTCTAATCGAGCCCTGCCCCAGCTGTATCTCCAGCTGTGATGCAACAAACTATAAATCCGTTTGGGTTGTTAAACTTCCCTTCGCTCTTATGGTCACTGAAGGGGTCTCGGGAAGGGCAGGAAATCGGTTTTCACTCTAAAGGGAGTGGCTCGTATGTCAGTTTAACCGGAAGCATCTAAACAAAGTGTGTCGCACATGCTGCTGCTTTGATCTGAAGTGGGCTGGACCAGCGAAAATCCCATTTCTGTCAGTGTAAAGAATTTTATCTACATATTTAATCCATTTCCATCTCAATATGAGAAAAAAAGTGTGTGTTTAACAGTATGTCTCCGTTTTTGGTTTTTTTTTTTCATGATAAAGAAATTCGGCTGTAGTTAATGAAAGAAATCTGTCACTACGACTCTTTGGCCTTTAATGGTAAAAACAAAATGTGTAAAAGTACAGAATTGTAGTAGCTCATTTCCCCAGACTGCCCTGTAATGTTTAATTCACAGAAATGTCTATAGGAACTTGAATGTCATTCAGTCATTTATCTATTACTTCATTACTTTGGTGTCATATGAATAGCTGTGGGAGGGGATCTTTATCAGTAGGACATCTGTAAAATGTATGAAAATACAGGTAAAAGTCCAAAATTTATGCTCTGCTTCACAATCTCCAAAGATGTCTCGTGGGCTGGATCAGAGTCTTCGCCTTTTCGATTCTGGCCCCTAGGCCTTATGTTTGACACCCTAATCTAATCAGTTGCATTAAACTCTCATTCGCTGCCTTGTGTCGATGATTAGGTTTTGAAGTCTGCAAAGACACGGCAGAATTACAGGAAAAACATACTCACTTTTCCTAGGATACATCCAGTGTCAGCTTTAGATTTTATTCAGCTCAGCTTCCAGGAAATGCTTCCTTTTAAGGGGGAACTCTGATTTTACAGCGTTTGGTGTTCCCACACTTATCTGGAGCCGAAGTACTCAGCCTAAAGTTGTAAAATGTGTGGGATCGCCCAACCGTAGAGGTCAAAATGCGCTTACCTGGATTGTGGAGTTTGAAAGTCTGAAGGCACAGGAGTGTTTATTGTTTTACTGTTTTATGGTGCGCTCTAACATCAGGCTGTTGTGGCAGATGGCCGCCCTCGCCCTCGCTCTTCCTGTCGCCAAGTGTTTGCTCATAGTTAGATTGCTGAATCGTTAGGTTTTTCTCTGTGATTTTGTGGGGCCTTTCCCGTCACTAGGAAGCATCTTTAGATGACTGTTTGTATTTATTGGCACCATGTAAGTTAAAACTGAGCGCACCTGAGATAGGAAACCGTCACATGTTTAAAATTTAGTTTTCTTTTTTCCTCCTCAGCCGTGTTCGGTTCATATCTGCGCCCCGACATTGTCCCAGCCAACCCATCCTTCTACGAGGGCTCCTCCATGGGAACTATCTCCACCTCCTCCATCTTTGTAAACGTGGAAAACCAAACAGAGGACAGGTACAGTGTCTCCTGTGTTGACGTTTCCTTGTTTTCCTACACTCACATGATCCTGAAATGTTAAGCTGATCACCTTAAACCATGACGCAAGGCCACGAAGAAAAGAAGGAAGTCACGCCTGACATGTACACTCACGCACATGCTCGGGCACTCCCGCCTTATTGTTACCTGTGCGTCTACGTCACACGGTCTTATTGGTGACGTGCGTCATGGAGCATGTTACTCACTTAGTTTGCCTGCATGCATCCAAGTACACGTGCACGCTTCATAGACAACATATGAATCAGGATGCGTGGTGTTGTAGTGGATGCCAGGAAAACTTTTATTTGATTGGACTCTTGTGGCAGGAATGACTTTGGATGGCTCAAGCGTCCCTTAATGAAATGCTTTAATGGCACAGCATTGACTAATAGTTGAAACCCTGATTTTTAACACAATCAGAGTGTTACATTAACAGGTTTCATTGTGACTTTTACCAGTGTGGAGAGAGAAAGTGTGTTAAAGCTTTATTTCCTGTCCTGCTAAAAGCCTCTAAGCCCTGCATCCCCTGCCCTTTGCATTTTTTTCTTCCCTTCCACCTTTCAGTGCTCCTCCTGTCCAACAGTGTCGAGTTCAGCTTGCTTTCTGAGGCTGCATTGTGTGACTTGCCCGGTCTTGTCCCTTCATCAGTCACCTGCTGCTGCCCTGACATTGTTCTGTCAACTGTTTTTATAAATATTTAAACAGCAGCTTTGACACACTCTTACTCTGTGCCATTACGCTGCACAAATACGGTGACAAAAGAGGACAAGCGGCGCTGTGGAGACTGTATATCAGCCAACAATAATCCCTGTCTGACAGCCGCTCTGCCTTTTATTTTAGTAACACACTTTTGAAGTGTCACATCTATCTATCTATCTATCTATCTTCCGTATGTCTCACATCCATCTGTTATCTCTACAACTATAGCAACATGCTGCTCTTGTTCTAATTGGATTACATCTCTTTGAACCCCTAACATAGTGTGTCATATGTTAGAAAAGGGCAAAAACACATTCCTGAATTTATCAGGAAGTCTGCTGATGTGCATATAAGGGAAAACGATCTTTTGTGGCCCCCTAGTGGTGAACCACAGACTGCAACTAAAGGCAGGATGAATTTTGCAGTACGAATGTGCGAGCTACGTTCAAATCCATTTATCTGACTCCTGTATGGATTCAGTCTAATAGCACTCTATTTCAGCATTACGCTTTTGATCCATTTTTAATAAGTCCCTCCCCCCATTCCTCCTCGTCCAATTCAACTACTGCAAGGAATTTCCAAGATCTGTGGGCTGCGCGTTAGCTGGATCTCATTCGTTGAATGCGTACATGCATGAAAAAGAACATATTTTCTGTCAGAGTGCAATATGCTACAGTTTTTATTAGAAAGGATAGAAAATTGGAATTTCTGTGGATGTAAGTTCCCTCCAGTGGAAACCAAAATGAAGGAGTTAACTTTTTAGGTCTGTAATTTCCTGGAAGAAATCTCTTTTAAAGCTCACTTGTATCTCTTACTCCACATTGAGAAATCTGTAGGACTCTCTCTCCCAGCAATTCCTCTCAATTTCAACCTCCCGTTTGGCGTTTCTGAGACAATGAGCCTCTACGTCCCGACACCAGACAGGTTTCTTTGTCTCTTTACGTCAGAGTCCGCAATAAATCTGCGGTTCGTTTGTTAAGGGGTTTTTTCCAATCCCTTTTCCAGCACTGTTTATACAGCTGCCCTGCTCTAACCGGGGCTTTGACGCAGATGATAAGCTCTCAGGTCCGTCTACAAGTTAACGTGCGACCGTGTTTTTCAGGGATGACGTCGCATCCAGCTCCACCTTCACCCTGGAGGACAGTGCCATCTGCCTTACGTCGGAGCAGAGCACCATGGACGTGGACATGGATCGAGATGACGGATCGGTTCTTGACGTCTACCTGGTGGGTTCATTTATTTCAGGTTATTCTTGTTTAAATATTGACTAGGCTTCAGCTGGATATACTGACTTATTCTCTTTGTTTCACAGTGAAAGGAGCAGCTTTACAAACATTCATTTTCTCCTGCCAAGCATAAGACAATCGCCACACCCCCACTGGACAGGCCATGCTGGCGTTTGACTCACTTTCAGTGCTGCTAGATCCATGTTACCACTTGTCTTTGCCAACACATCAAAAAAAGTACTGAGATTTCCACTGGTTGTTGGACGAAAAGTCAAAGTGAAGGAGATCTGCGAGGAACCATGCAACATACCGTGTCACGTGCTGTACATCAGACTGAGCTTTGGGAACATGCGTCAATGCCGCGGCACCATTAGGTTTTATATGTGTGTACTGTTTTCAAGGCCTACAAAACAACTTCAGCATATTTGAGGAGACGGTAGATGCAAACCATTCATGTGTTTAGATGTTTGGTTTGGGTTTTTTTTCTTTCCCTGCTGTTCAGAAAGACATGAAGGACACTTTTACGATTCGCGACTGCTTTAGTTGCTGTTAAAATGAGAAATGTTTACACTGAATTTATGGTGGCATCTTTGTCCCCAATGAGGAGGGACGCCGCGTTGTCAAACGAAGGACACAAGTTGGTTTTGTAGCCGCATCCAACACCTACCAGGAAAGACTCCTGTGAACAGACTAGATACTGAAGCTGCCGAGGCCAAACCCGAGGTGCGATCCGGTTTAAGCGGCCTGCATTTTTTCCTAACTGTGCCGCCCGGAGAGGAGCGTGAAGCGAGCAAAGACTGCGGCCAGGCCTCGTCTGAAGCCCGGAGCAGGAGGCACTTTTGCCATGTTATGATTTCTGTAAGACAGATTTCTCCAAGGACACTGCTTTAGGCGGGTGGGCTACCTGATAGAAGCACAGATGTGTGAACATGCACTTTTTAAAAAATCTTTATTATTCAAATGCACACTTGTTTTGTCGTTGACACTACATGTACAAAGACAATGAAGCAACACTGTAGATATTTTTTTTTCTGTTTGATGTGGAACTACTAGTTTCATGAGGTTTGCGTCATGACTGAAGATGCTTTTACTCAGGATATCCTTTGATACTGAATAAGTGTGTCCTCTTTAAGTTCAAGTTCTGAGACACTCGGTGGCGGTCCAGTACCGCTCCATCAAAATCATATCCAGCTATAAGTGTTTGAACTCCACGATCACGTCAGTTGAGACCATAATTTATTATGTAAATCCCAATATTTTACCATTTGCTGAAAATATACTTTCATCGCTGAATGTATAGACAATGCGTATTTATATAAAGAAGAGACTCCTATAAATAAAAAATTTAAACTCTGTGTCTGCCTGTGAATGCTCAAAACATTTCATGTCATGCGTTTGCAGGTCATAGCTGTGGATGTTTAGGAAGTGGCGGTCTTTAGTGAGAGTATGGGTAGAAACCCTAGGTGGTAACACGTAAACTCCACGTAGAAACGGCCGTGACCTGATTCTGTTCCAACGCTGATTATTGCGGCTTTCCACAGAAACCAGTTTCATTGTCACGCCAGTGTGAGGAAAAGAATACGATCGGTTCTGCTGTATATTAACTTTAATTTACAGAACATTGCAAAACATTTACTGTCAAATAAAATTTCTCATATACAGTTTAAAAATATACAAACTATTTAAAATCCAGACAAAACTGAAATCACTAAATGCATTCTGCTCATGTAGCTACAACACTGTGCAAAACGTCTGCAGCCACGCCTCATTTCGTGACATTTGCCTCCAGATTTTCTTGTAATTTTTTAAAGTGGTTTTCAGAAATGGCTCTCTGGGCTCTTCCAAAGATTTTCTTTAGACATTGGCTGCTTTTATAAAAAAAAAATAAAAAAAATACAATTTTAATTTATTTTAAATACAGTTTCAGTCCATTCCTTGTACCCGACCATTTTCAGAGGTATGGTTTTAGTTTAAGCCTTTTAACACTCATATGAAAAAGGCACCAAACCAAAGTTAAATGCTCCTCATCGCCCAAGCTATATTTCTTCTGACTGTTTCTGTCAATAAATTCAAGTGTTTAAGAGTCACAAGTGATAATTTATTTGACATCTAGAGTTTTCTCTGTACAATACACCGTGTCCACTGTGCTCTCTGAAAGCTACTTTATAACAATATTAAAGATTTCAAAGCTTTAGGCCATCAAACTGCAAAGAGTCGTCACGAGAGGGAGGGAAGAAGTGAAAGTGTTCCCACCTCATCAGTGCTTTTGCTGTAAATATCAGTTTAGGTTTTTTTGTTTGTTTAATTGACCTTTAGTGAAGTTTAGCAGTACCAAAAAAGGAGAAAAAAGCAGCTGTAATATTACCAATTAGAGCAAGACCCCCCCCAAAAAAAGTCAGGAAATGGATAATCAATAGAAATGCACGAAATAATTTACACAAAAAAAAAAAAATCACCTCATGAAATTCTTGTGGTTACATACAAAAGCGCCCATGACCAGCATGATCTAGCTAAGATCATAAACAACTACTTTTGTTTTAAAGCTCGAGGGGCATCTGAATAATTACAGATTCTGTAGATCTTACCTCGTTCACTTCAATAAAATCAATCCAATCGAAAAAAAGAAAAAAAATCATGAACTTAGTTAAACTTAAAAGGTCAAAGATGGTATGCATGGTAATTAAATTAACCCAATAAAACAAAAATATACAAATATAATTAATTATAATTATAGAAGATGTAGCTGCCAGTCAAGTTGTGCTTGGGGTCCTGGTTACCTCGTTGAATTCAGAAAAGGATGGGCTTCCCAGTGGTTTTCTCCTGGACGTAGGAGCTGAAGCGTTTGAGGAACTTGGGATACTCTCTCTTGGCCACAGGTCTGAGGATTGATGCTGGAAACCAGCCTCCGGGGTTCACTGCAGTCACACAGAGAAATATAATCAGGAAACAGTGTGTTCCCGCTGACTTATGATAAAACTATTAATAATAAACCTGCACAGGCAGCTGTGTGGGATGCCCTCTGGCGGGACGTGGTGATTTAATATTTATGTTTTTAAATGAACTCCCTCGACTCGCTCGGCATCTCTGACAATAAACTGGCTTATTCATCCTGCAGCGCTGCTTTATGTAATAACCTGCTTGTCTGCAGGGGCAGAAGTTGCAGTCTGGACTACAATTTCAAAGTAATACCCCAGGCTGGGTCATCCTCGTGTCAAAACTCCAAAATTCATTTAACAAAAACAAAAAAGGGCCAAAACAAAGAATGGCATGTCAGTCATTCAAACGAATGAATAACCAATTCTAATATATTTTCTTTGATGGTCTAACAAACGCTTCCATTAGACTGAATAACCAAACATTCAGACATTCAAAGTGTGCTTTTCTCATCTGTCGTGTACAAAATCTAGTGATACATGTGAGGACTGTAAGACTAAATAGAGGCTTTGTTCTGCTGTCTGCTGAGATCAAATCCAGATGCTCTTAAGAGGCACTTACCATTGGCAACATAGCTGACCCTGCACGAGATGTTGTCTCTGCTGATCTCTTTGTCGCCCTCTGGTGGACTAACCAGCGTTTGGCAGATCATTGCAACATTAAGTTTGGCACGAACACACCGGTTTGTTAGCTGAAAGTGAAAAATACATGAATAAATAAATAGGAGTAAAAACAAATTAAATCCCCCAAAACAGACACATATCTCACTGTAACTGATATGACTGACAGACTTTGGTTAACATTGTTCTCCCATTTACTCAATAAGGCCTTGTTTGACAAGATGATGTTTGATACTAACATGAACTAGATGCACTGTTACAGCACTTGGAGGTGTGAAGAGAAAAATATGCATAAGCAGTATGTTTACCCAGCTTTCTTTGTCAGGCATAATGTATTAAACCTCAAATGTAAGAGTTGTTCTTATACCAGGAGCAGTGCTTATGTCTGTTTTCAGTCATCCAGGTCATGGCACGCTTAAGCACTCGAGCTGAAGGCAACTGGACGTGTTTTTACTTTCATTAAGATTTTTCACAAATATTTAACCTCTACTGGGATTGGCCAGAGTCGCCTCTATTTTTTGAGGCGACTGAGGTCCTTCAACATCTGCCGGACAATGCTTGGGATTTTCTACAAGTCTGTTGTGGCCAGTGCGATCCTCTATGCTGTTGTATGCTTGGGGAGTAAATTGAGGGTTGCTGATGGTAAGAGACTCAATAAACTGATCCGCAAGGCCAGTAATGTTGTGGGGATGGAGCTGGACTCTCTTGAGGTGGTGTTGGAGAGGTGAATGTTGTCCAAGATAAAGGCAATGTTGGATAATTCCTCCCACCCACTCCATGACATGCTGGTCAGTCACAGAAGAAGTTCAGCAAGAGACTAAGATTACCAAAAAGCACCACTGAACGACACAGGAAATCATTCCTGCCTGTGGCCATCTCCCTGTACAACTCATCCACTTAACACACTGTATACTGCAATAGCTACACCCCTTTTGCACATTCCCTTCTTTCTTATTCAGATATTTATCAATAAGTAACTTATATGTATGTATATATTGTGGTATTTCTTACTTTTTGTAATGTCTGTCTTTGTTACTGTTTATACTGGAGCACTGTAACCAAAATAATTTCTCCTAAGGATCAATAAAGTGTTCTGATTCTGTTCTGATTGTCACCTTGGGGGTGGTCCTGAGAGTTTTTGACTCACCCTGTCATCATGTCAAAAGGAAAGATGTTTCACCTTCACAAACCTAAAAAGAAGTAAAGCTGCCTTTAACTCAAGTGCTTAGCACTGGGACTCTGCTGTAACCCGAAGTAATTGTCTTGTGTATGACTTTATGAGCCTCTCACATGATTGTGCTCGGGATCATTGTCCTGTCGCGTGACCCAAGCTTTAGCTGCCAGTGTCAGATTTGACTCTATAATACTTCATGAGTTCATGAAAGGTGCTCAGGTTCCTGTGACTCCGAAACATCATTCCTCCACCACTGTGTCCGACAGTTGGTTTGATGTGCTAATGCTGATATGCTGTAGTTTTAAAACTACTTCAGCCTGAAATATACATGTAAAAAAACTTATTATTATGATTATACGACTATTATTACTATTTTTGTTAGGCTGTGAGATGGGTTAATGATTAGCCGTACTGTTGATTTTCATGCATTTTTTGTACAGTGTCAGATTTTTTCACCAAAACAATTACTAATTGGGAAAAAAAAGAAAGAGAAGACTTTAAGTTGGACACACACACACACACACACACACACACACACACACACACACACACACACACACACACACACACACACACACACACAATTATCCAACATCAGTAGCGGCACTAACTTATCAGTTCAGTGACAAGACACCCCTGCAGAAAACAGAAGAGTAGCGCCATCTGGTGGACAAATCTAAACATTTTAAATTGAAGCGAATTTCAATAGCTTTCAATGGGGCATTTTTTGGCCTTAGATCAAATGTGGATGTGCATAGCCTAATTTAAGGAGTTGAGACAACTATTCTAAAATTTAAAAAATATATCTTTTGGCAAATATCAGCTATATTCATTCAGCACAGCAGAAAATAGAAAATAAAAGAAATAACAGAAAATAAAAAACTGAATGGCACAAAATGTCCTGAACATCATCTATTAATTAAATGAACACAGCACAACAGTCTAGCGCTAAAAACACAAGGGAAGCCTCTGAGGGTTAATCTTACAGGTACATCATCATGCTCCACAGAGATGTTGCAGACGATCCATGTGTCGGGTTCACTTTCATTTCTCGGTGGAATCATCCTGATGACTGACAGGAAGAGCACATCTCTCTGAGCGACAGGCCACACTGTCTAAAACAAAGGAGACACGTGATCAATTCAATCAATCAAAAACAGGCTGTGCAATATAACTGATGAAATGTGCATTGTGTTTCACTGTGCAGTGTGCACTCAGTATACCTTGTGCGTCTGGTAGACAATGACGGCATTATCAGAGAGCTTTTCCACAACGTGGAAATTTTCAACGGTGGCTGTGGGAGGGAGAGTTCACATCAGGTCATGGCAATAACACAAGGAAAGTCAAATAGTAATAATATGTTGGACTAAAACACAGATCTTACTCTCCCAGTCCAATCGGACTGCAGTGTCCCAGAAGTAGTGGCAGACCTCATGTCCAGTTACCCCCTTCACAGCATGTGTCGCTTTGAGGGGATCCAGGACGATGCCGTTCTCCTCCACTTCCCTCCTGTATACCTGTTACACAGCACCACAGACAGAATATTATAAACACACTAACAACTTCACCCGTTACTAAAAACTAAGATGATTTTTCTCAGGCTTTTAAAAGTTTTAAATCACCGTGTATTTCAGCGGCGTATTTTTTCACTGTAGCACAAATAAGTTACTACTGCAGTACATTTTAAAATGTGAATGAGATTTAAATATTCACAGCAAACAACAGAAATAATTCATGTTTTCTGTCCTCACCTTCATCGCCCCTTCTTCTGCTACCAGTTGCCAGTTGGCACCTCCACCCTCCTCCTGGATGGAGTAAGCCATGTGATTCTGCACAGTTTCCTCCACCTAAGAGTCAGATATTATAGCATTACAGTATTTATATGCCTGAGCGATCATCACACCTTCTACCTGTGTATTTAGTTTTTTTAAACAGAGGTGTTGATAAAAATAAGAGAAGCCATGAATCCCAGAAATGTCTTAAGCAAATTTACTATCCAACTAAATAAATATTACACACTTGATATTGCTTGGGTGTGTTCAAAACCTCAACAACGCGTCACGGTCCCCGATTTCTCCCAGAATTTTGACTTCCTGTATAGTCAGGTGGTGCTATATACTGAGCGCAACCTGACTCTGATCCTCGGAGCACAGGAAACGTTTGTGAAATCCTGCAGGGAGTGGTTTAGCAGGCGTTTACGTGACGTTCCCAAACACAGCACTTGAGGGCTGAATCAGTGAATGTTATCTGAAGCAGATGACTGATTAGCTCGATCGAGGACGAGGAAGGAGAGTGGATATAGAGCTGTACATCGGAGAAAGATTTTAAAAAGAAGAAGGAATAAACTACAAAAACTGAAAAAGACTCCACAGCAGGAGAGCAGAAGACACATAACAACCCCAAAAAAGTAGCATTTCATATGAATCTGTACTTTAATATTGCAGTGAGCACAAAATGATGTGATTAAGATTAAGGTCAGGTATGTCAGCGTCATCAGCACCAAGAAGACCTTGATTTGTACAGGGATGATAAGACAAAGATAAGAGCAGCAACTTGTTACCTTAAATTTTAACAAAGGTGGACAGGAGGAGGGTGAATAGCACAGAGCAAACAAACATAAATATGGTTCGCACCTTGTTGGCAAATCTGTGTGTGCCGATGCTGGAATATTCATGACCGGAGGAAGCTGAAGGCAGTTGAACTTTCCAGACCGTCCTTGACTGGCTCTGAGGGAACGAGCAGATGAGTTAAGATGAGAAGATCAAGGAGACAGAAATGGGTTTATGGAGGCCATGAATGAGAACATTGAGACAGCAGTGAGGAGGGTGACAGATGGGTTCAAGGTGGTGTTGCTGGGCTCTGAGACCCTTCTCGTGATGGACAGACTGATATATGAGTTTAGAGAAGAGTCTCTGCAGACTATGAGTTCATTTAAGTTCAGTTTTATTTGTCATATGCAAGTTAGCACAGGGTCAACATTGCAATGAAATGTATGTGACGAGCAGAAGACAGTCACTCAGCAGTATAGTACAGTAAAAAAAAAGAAAAACATTGTAAAAGAGAAAAATATTTATAAAATAAAGTAAATATTTTGCTCTGACTATGATGTTCACATACAACAATGTGTTCTATAATGAGAGTAGGGAGCAGGTGGAAGAGAGCCTGGGGAGGTGGAGGTATCCTCTGGAGTGAAGAGACATGAAAGACAGTAGAAGAAAGACCTAATATGTGTGTGTGAATGAGAGGGAGACAGGTGTAACAGTGAAGATGCAAGGAGGAGGCAGCCTAATTTTGACCTAAAATGAACAGTAATTAATATAATATTATAGCTTGAGTGTTTAATCATAAGAAAGTTTTGCACAGGCCTCTATGCAGTCCCCCAAGAGCTACATTTCAGTCTAAAGGCCTCAGTTAGCATGTTAAATGTTAAAGTTCACGACAGTGCAAAAACACTGAAAGAGTGTGGCTTGTTTGGAAGGGTTGCCACAAGAAAGCTTCTTGTCTCTCTCTAAACAAAAAAGGAAGAACATGGCTGCACAGCTTATCTGAACAAATCACTAATAAGACCTTTGGACAGGCAAGACCAAAGTGGGAATGTTTGTCCATGAAGAACTGCACTATGTGTGTTGAAAGCCAAACACAGCATATCAATAAAAAACATCAACATAGTGGTGGTGGTGGTGTGATGATTTGGGGTTTGTTTTACAGCCACAGGATCTGGCCACGTTACAGCCAGCCAAGAACTCCTCTCTATAACAAAGTCTTCTTCAGTCAAATATAAAAGTATTTGTCCCACAGCTACTGTAAAGCTTTACCCGCATGCAATTTGACAATTATCTGATGCAAAGCATCAAATCTACAGCAGAATGACTGGAAAAAAGAGAAGAAAAATCAAGGTGTTGCAATGGCTCAGTCAAAGTCCAGAATGAGCTGCGCATAAACAAATGCCCGCAAACCTCACTGAACTGAAGCAACGCTGTAAGGAAGCGTGGACCAAGGTTCCTCTATAATGATGTGAAAGGCTGATAAAGTCATACAGAAATCATTTTGGGACTTCAGGTTATTACTGCTAAAGGTACTTCTAGAAGCTATTGATTGGGGGATGCACTCAGTTTTCCACAGGACTTGACTTTCCTTTCCACGTGACCGTTTCTGTTCTACTTTGTATCTTTGTCCATTAATCCGTTTGGACCTTATCTCTCCTTGTCTACACGAAGAAATGCTGCCATTCCACATAACAGCTAATCAGCGAAGAAGTAAAATGGTTAGATTATATTCAATAGTTTATCCCAGTCCAATTAGTATTATTCAGATCTATGACTTAGAAGAAAGGAATTATAGCAAACTAGCTAAAGTATCTGGACTTTGTTTTTTTAATTGCTGTGTGGATAAACTAACAAATCAAGTGTGGCTACCGGTGAACTGTAATGCTAACAACAGAGTAATACTATTAAAGTCAGAGGAACCAAACACAAACAGGTATAAAGGGAGGTGTCGGCATTCCAGACAACACAAAATAAATAGAATGTGTCGTATAACCAGGACACAGAGACCTACTGTAACTGGATGGCTGCAGGTCTGCACAGGAATCCATCTTTGAGTCTCCTGCTTCAGCAGCTGTTTCTTCTTACTTTTCCGCGACTGCTTCGGTGAACTGTGCAACGAAGTCCCGGTACTCATTTTCTAACTTACTCTCTGAACAAGTGTGGGTAGGTGTGTCCCGCTCCTCGTGTTTGCTCTGTGACTGTTTCTATGTCTCTACCCCACACACCCGCAGTTAAACTTCACATACATAACCAAACACTGATAAGTTTGTGGTTGATTGACTCAGGTAGTCTAACTCACAGGAAATACTTCCCGGTTTACCTTTACGCACAGAGAGAGAGAGAGAGAGAGAACTGGTTTGTCGAGATCAGCTGAGATCAGGACATACATGAGGAGCTCTTTTAAAGGCACAGGCCAATCAGTGTCAACATGAACAGAGAGTGTTACAGGACCTCAAACTGTCCACTTGTTTCATGTTTACTGAGCAGTGACTGTAGGAGTTGAATTTCATAACATGTTTACAGTAGCCGCTTTTATCCGGATAGTTGGATCATGGAAAGGACCGGGGAACTGACTTTTCCTGTTTTTCTTGCTGCCTGGACACAGGTTACAGTCTCTTTTTCCTTTGGATGCGATCTGATTTGCATTTTCAGCAGGCGGACAAACACCGGAGCTAACTTGCATTAAAGTGTATGTAGTGTAAAGTATTCACCGCTAGATGTCAGTAGTTATTCTTTCTAATGTTGCCATGATTGTGTTTAAGGACTGATGAATAAGTAAAATACAGACTACAGCTGAAAGTTAAAAAAAATAACTACCTTTTATAAAAAGAAGAAAAAAAGAATATTTTCGAAATCTGTCAAAAAACAATCAAACAACCTGATTAAAATAAAAAGCTTTTTACCCACATTTGAAGCCACTGAACGTCTCTGAGAAGTCAGAAATTAATCAAGTATCACATACAACCACTAAAATTAGTGTTGTTCAGGAATGCAGTAACAATATTCAAGCATATTCTGGTGGAATAACCATAGTAGAAACAAAAAATTTTGTAACAAGCAAAACTTAATTTAGGACTACTTTGGTAAACCTGACATTGGAAGGTGGTGTGAAAATGTAAACGCTCTACATAAATTACACAGATGTGATACAATGCAGCTGACAGTAAAAAAACACAAAAATATTATATACACAGAGATATAGATTATACACAGACACACACTTAAAGTGTTAATAAAATAGGTCCAAGAATGGATCCCTATGGAACACCTACACTGATGGCAACGCTTTTAATCAAGTTCAAGATCTTTCGTGACACAATAAAGTGCATTTTTTCTGACTCCAGGTCTGTGTTTGTAATAACTTAAAAACTAAACTAAACTAAACCATAAAACACCAAAAACACTTACAGTTTTTTGTATATTAATTTTAATTTACAGAACATTGTCAAATTGCAATACATTTAGTGCAAATAACACTTCTGATGTACAACTTAGAAATATACAAAGTGTGTAGATTACTGACAAAAATATCAAAATTAAAAAGACTAAATGCATTCTTCAGCTGACACCGCTCATAGATTTAGCTCTTATCATTATCTGCAAAACAATTATCCAGATCCCTCCTAACCTCAAATCTCTTTTCAAACCATGCAGATCTACTGACTGCTAAACTCCCAACTATTGATGGCATTGAACACAGTCGAAATTGAAACCTTGAGGTAAGATGATGTGAAATGCTGACCCTCCCCCTCCCAACCCCACCCAGTTTGATTTCAGTGTTGATAAATGCACGTCTGGTGGCTGAACAGTAGAGAAAGCCAGAACTCCTGGCGTCTAAGGCATACTGGGGGTAGTTTATCAGTCAAAGTGCAGGAAACCACTGCACGGTAGTGTGGCATCTGAAATGTAAAATCATCTGACTGAGAACATAAGGAACACATTATAAAATGATAATCCTATTTAACATTTAATAACAATTCCGCTTAAAAGCAAGCAGGAGTAATTTATAAATCTGACACTCTTGAGTGAACAGAAAGATTTTCTTTTCCCTGCCTCACCAGGGTCTGAAAATAGAGATGAGAAAACCTAGAGGGTACAAAATGTATTCATTCAGCTCTCAAAGAAAGAGAGGAATCTTCAAACCAGACACTAGGGCCGGTCCTTTGCAAATATCTGTCAGCAACAGCATGCTGACTGACAAATACATGCAAATACCGCAACTTAGCATCTAACTAACGACATCATCTGGATAGTTGAAAATATTGTCCAACACAAGTCAATTAGACTTAGTAAGTGCTCCTCATCACTCTTGTTGTATCTAATCTGCCCATTTCTGTCATCAAATTCAAGCATTTAAGAGTCAATTCACATTTATCACAATTGATAATCTATTTGAAATCTTACCGTTTTATCTGTACAATACATTGTGTCCACGGTGTTCTCTGAAAGCTACTTTATAACAATCTAGAAATGTAAAGACTTCAAAGCTTTAGGCTCTGACCCCCCATCAAACTACAAAGAGTCGTCACAAGAGGATCAGCAAAAGGCAAGAAAGAGGAAATAGTGTACCACACCTCATCTGTGCTTTCACTGTAAGTATCTGTTCTCTTTCCTCTTTCATGGTAGTTACTTTAGCAGCAGCAAAACAAGTAGCTGTAATACTAGTGATTAGAGCAAACCCCCCAAAAGTTCAAGAAAAGTTTAATCATAGTAAATGTACAAAACAATTTAAAAAAAAAAAAAAAAAAAAGAACCCTAACAAAAAAAACAAATAAAAAACAAAAAGCAAATTATCGGTAACAATTTGAAGACTGTTTAGGAAATGTTTCAGCTTACATACAAACGAACCCATGACCAACAGGTTACAATCTAAGATGATAACTACTGATCCATTAGGGCCAAAAGCAGTCTCATCTTCAAGCAGCACGTCCTGATGGTGCGGTGACACGTGAATGGTCATGTGATCTTCAACAGTCACTTCAACAACGCAGTCTCCCCAGCAGGTGAACTTGGCACCTCTGAAAGCTGAAATGAGCAGGATTAAAAGAATACAAAGAATAAATTGAAGTAAGTGTATGGATCTGCTGGCTGATTCAAAATAACAGATACGACATCAACCAGGAGATATCTCAAATAGTGTAATAAAGTCAGGATACAAAACAAAAGAATACAAATACAACTAAGTATAGAAGATCCCGCTGCTAATAACAGTGTTTCTGTGGTTACCTGTTTACATTTAGAAAAGGATAGGCTTCCCAGCAGTTTTCTCCTGGACGTAGGAGGTGAAGCGTTTGAGGAACTTGGGATATTCTCTCTTGGCCACGGCTCTGAGTACTGATGCTGGAGCCCAGCCTCCGGGGTTTACTGCAGCCACACAGGAGTGAGGGAATAAAGACAAAGATGAAAACAAAAACCAATGTGTTCCTGCTGACTTATAATAAAACAATTAACAATAACTCAGTGATTCAGTGCACAGAGAGCTGTAACTGTTTAGAGGTGCCCTCTAGTGGGAGAAGGAAATGTAAGATTTATTAAATGAACATCCTTTGAACTGCTCAGCATCCCTGGCAATAAACTGGCTCAAGATTCCCCCTGCAGCGCTCCTTTATGTAACAGCCTCTTAGAGAAGAGGCAGCCTGGACTGAAATTTCAAAGAAACCCAGACTGTGTGATCCATGTGTCAGAGCAGCTGTACTAAGTTTAAAAATGCTGTTATCAGATTGTTTCAAATGAGGATAAAGGTGTATATTCATTTGTAACTTGTGACACAAGATGTTACCAAGCTAAAGATTGTCACATTGGATCCAGATACACTGAAACTACTCGATACATAATTTTTCTTTTAAGGCCTTTTGTTGTCTCTATATGTAAATCAACAATAATTTCTTTGTCTGAACCATTTAAACTGAATCCGAGGATCAACCCAGCTGATATATGTATATGTGCCAGCTGGAACATTCCATGTGTGCTTTTCTTATTTATTGCCTAGTGTTTTTTCATATAAAGTGGGGCAATAATGAACTTGAGTTTGATTACTTACAAAGAAACAAACAATTTCTAACTTTTATGGTAGTTTCATTTTGAAGGAGAGAGACAAAATATCAAGCAAAAAAAATCTAGAAAAACATGTTACATAAATGTTATAGATCATTTTGCACGTCATTGACTCCTAAGTATTTGATGCTCTACAATCCAGACAGATTTCTGTCTCCCACACTGATAACAATCAGTCAGTCATTTACAGAAAGCAGCTTGTTCGGTGTATAAAGCACACCTGTCCACAAAATCCATTCCAACCTCTCCATTACCATGGGTGAGACCAAAGAGCTGCCAGAGGGTATCAAGGACCAGATCTTAGACCTGCAGACAGGCTGGAATTGTCTACAAGACCATCAGCAAGAAGCTCAGTGACTGATGATTATACATTTCTCAATTTCTAAATAATCGCACCAACAGTCATCCTCAGGTTGGAGCTCCAAGATTATGCCTATGATGTGAAGATGATCACGCGAAAGGTGATGGATCAGCCCAAAACTAAATTGAAGGAGCTTATTAGTGATCTGAAGGCAGCTGTGACCACAGTCACCATCAGCAACACACTACACTGCAATGGACTGAAATCTCACAGCACTAGAAATCCCCCTGCTCAAGAACGCACATTTACAATGATAATAATATAATAATAATACAATAATTATTTCCCACCACTGTATGTGTAGGGACACATGCAGACTGAGTAAAACTGAAAAACTGATTTGAGGTTTGGTTGGAGCCTCTGGCATTTACAGTAGGTTGCATTATAGCAGGATTGTTGTTGCTACACAGGTTTTGTTTTGCTGGCCGTTGATCTTGCCTCAGGCACATATGCTAAGATCAAAACTAGATGATCTTCAGAGGTACTTACCATTGGCAATATAGTTGATCTTACACATGATGTTGTCTCTGCTTATTTCTTTGTCACCCTCTGGTGGGCTGACCAGCGTTTGGCAGATCATGGCAACATTGATTTTGGCACGAACACACCGGTTTGTGGGCTGAAAGTTAAAATAGACAAATAAATACAACAATAATAATAATCAAAAACAAAATACAAACAACCCCCCAAGCTAACACAACTCTTACTGTAGATGAACTGACAGGGTGAGTAAGATTAATGCTGTTCTTCTGTTTCGCCCCAAAAAAGTCTTGTTTAAAAAAAAAAAAAAAAAAAAAAAAAAAAAATGTTTGTAAAAGCTTTAATGAACTAAACACAGTACTTTGATGTAAACAAATACAAACATGCTCAAAGCAGTCTTTGTCTGACAAAAACACAGTTAATGCATTAAACCTCAAATCCAGACCTAATTACTCT